CCTTAAGCAGGCTGAGTGCTTGTGTAAAGGGTGGGGAATATTTTTGCTGAATAGAACCCAAGGTCAACCCATTGTGTGAGTTTGTATGTGAGAAGGGGAACAAAGGTTCTGGCTTCAATAAAATTAAATGAATTCATGTCTTGACTGGTATGTAGTCATTTAATTTTTATTACAGCCAGAACCTTCAGTCTGCCTCAGAAATGCACATTAAAAATATTATTGCTAGAAAACAGAGGGAGAGAAAAGCAATTATCCAACAAGATTTCAGCTAATTGTCTGTCATGTTAACTTCAATTCTGATTATTTTTCATTTTTTTGTTAAAGAAATGTAAGTAATCAGTGAAAATTAAAAACCCATTATATTTTGGGGATCTGTATCTAGAGAATACCACCTGGGCCATGAAAGTCTTAAAAGAAATTTGTGAAGGCTTGTATGAAAAAAGGTGTGAAATAAGTTTTACCTTGGATTGCCACTTCCAAAGACCATCTCTAAGGCTCTAGGGTAGCAAAAAGCAGAGACTGGGCCAGGGTTGCTTTGCTGCCTATTTTATTTCAGCTTAGAGTTTTTGCAGTCAGGTGTTGCCAAACCATGATTTGTGGAGCATCTCTAAAGAATGAATGAGAAGTAAACTTTTTATTTACTCCTTGTTCAACTGCATGTTTTACAGCCTTCTCAGAGGACCCAGTTCTGTTAAGGCTGGTTTGACTCACAGCACAGAGAATACTATCTTTCTCCACACTTTTACTACTAAGTTTTGACAAAAAGGACACAGTGAACTTGGGAAGGGACAAGCTTTGGCAATCTGACTTCTTTGCTTTTTGTACTGCAGATAGCTTGGTCCAAAATAGGGCAGCTCCCTTGTGTTACAGAAACAGTCGCACATATCAGGAGGAACAAAAGCTGAGGTCTGTCCTCTGAACATAAAAATGGGTCTTTTTTCTGTTCTGTTCTTAACAGGACTAAGAAACTCCTGGCTCAGAGCATCTTCCAACTTCCTTCCTGATTTACATGCATGATAAATCTTCTACATTCTCATGACATTTATGTGAAGGTGGCAAAAGTCCATTTTCAGCAATTACTAATCCTCAGTAAATAAAAAAGAAAAACTTTCAGCAAATTACATGGTGTCATTGCACAAAAAAGTGTCAGTAACCATGGTCATTAATCCTTACACCAATCCTTACACCTTACAATCCTTACATCATTACACAAAACACATTCTAATTTATGTTTTCACACAGATTTAGAGCACACCAAGAAAAAATCTGAAAGACTTAAAAGAAAATAAAACAGATCTCAAAACCAAAGTATCTGTATGAAGGGTTTCTGCAAAATATTTAATTTTCAGACTGCAGTCTGCAGAAAAAGGTATAAGGACAGAAAGCTGTCACTGCCTGCTGTACCTTTAAGTAGCTTCATTCAGTGAGGTCTAACTCCTCAGCTGTCTAATATGGAAGCTGCTGACATAGATAAAATTGGAGACATTCATCTTGGCACATGACAAAGTGTCTTATCAGCCTCATTAGTGACTTAGTATATCTCATCAGTCTTTAGTATACCCAGTGGTAAATGCTGCATGCCTGTCATTGGACGGGAATAGGCACGTACCAGAGAGGCTAGGGTGATGATCTGTGTAGTCATGAATAAATTTTGTTTTAATAAAGGTGTCTAATGCTCACGAAAAGTGATAGCCTTGAAGAATGGGTCTTCTGTTTATCTATACAACAGGTGCAGGATGGCCAAAGTCAGTAGTTGCCAAATCATCTCAAAACCTCCACTTGCAGTTACTGTGTCTGGGAGCAAAGCAGGTGCTCAAGACCATCTGTCCCTCTTCAGAGAGACCATCAAAAGAGATCCAGTTAAGGATGTTCATTAAGATGGATGGATGTGTGGAACTGGACCAAAATTACCAAGTTCACTTTGTATAGGCCACCAAGGAACTGGCAAATGGAAATCACTTTACAATATAGCCAAGACAGTTAATTGGAATCACTGAAGCCCACTGAAAATTTAGCTTGCATAATGGCAAACTAAATTTGTAGAAAAGATAAAACAGGTTCTCTTCACCTTGGTCACAGTTTCTATGATTCACTCTCATGACTTATGTTTGAAATAGCCATGCTCCACAGATCTGTTCTGGCTTATTTGGCTCCACTGATGCATGCTTTTTATCATACTGTAGATAATGGAAAACTCACAGATGAGAAAGACAGTTGAATACAACATCAGCATGAGAGTCTCAGTTACCTAGTGAAGAAATAAAACCATAAAGAATGGCCAGGTAATTGCACAGCATGGAAATAAAGGGAATCAGAATCACATGGTGGGCACACAGGAAAATAATTTATTTCTAGGACCAGAAGCTGTAACAGAAGACCAGCACAATATAAAGTCCTGTACTTAAAGCTGCTCCTACTAAATGTTCTCACCGGGACAGTAAAAGGAAAAAGAAGTTAGATTATAATTTTTTTTTAAAGTTTAAAAATATATCTAAAGCAACCATGTGAAAGACAACTTCTAAGAGAAGATATTTATCTTAGCTTGTCTTAGGCCTAATAAATCCATGACTCTTCTAGAAAGTAGAGAGAATAGGATCAGCCAGAGTATGGCTGGTATGAAACTGAAATCACAGTAATTCAGAAAGAGGAATTACTTTCTAAATGTGTACAGTAAATTGCAAGAAGGGGCAAAACCAATCAGTTTCAAGCTTCCCAAAAAGGTTTTGGCAAAAGACTGCAGTGATTTGTGACACAGGCCAAAAAACTAACAAATATAGCTGCCCAGAATGAAAAAAACACTGGCAACAAAAGACAGATGCTGACAAAGCTGGACTTGAAGAACTTGTATTTTATGTGGACCTGGTTTAAAACCAAACTGTGACTCTGAACTTACTCAGAAACAGTTTCAACTTGGCTAATACTCCACCCAAAACAGACTACCGTGCAAATTTGTTTTACTAAAGCATGAATCATTACAGCCCATACAAGTGTTTCTTTCCAAAAGCTTTGCTCAGAAATATTTATGGACGTAAAGTAAAACATACTCGCCAACTACAGACAAGTTCATCAGCCTATTCACAGATACATTCTATCTCCTCATCAAGGTTATTGATAAGATGTTAAAAAGAAGTGGTCCCAATACTCAAGATGATCTGCTCCATTGTTTTCCCTGTCACTATCAGGTCTGTAGCTCCCTAGATCCTCTTCTTGCCACCAGCCACTCCTAATACTCTATTTTCTTCCCACTGTGAGCTGCACTCCTTCTTTCAGACACCATTCTATTCAGGATGCAGTCCTCCAATTTGTGGGTAGGCCCTGTACTCTCTGTTCCTAGATGTCCAGCCTTCTACTTGGCATTAAAGCATATTTTTTTGGAATGAGCCAGGACCTCAGATCACTCAGTGTAACCCAGAATAGAATTTGGAGGCATCATATTTAAATGAAAGTCACATGGAAGGCTTCCAAAATTCTGGGAAGGTTGGTCCCACAGTTTCATTCTGAGAGAGATCCGATATAAAAATGTAAATTAAAGCCAGGATTATTTATACTGAAAGATAAACAAAAGGATTACACTTCGAGCTATTAGGAACCAATGGAAATGTGCCTCTAAAATGAACTTACCTTTCATCTTGACCGAGTAAAAAGCAACAGCCTCCCCATTTCTCCAGAGTATCTTGGCACACTCAGTGGCAGAGTGAGGTAGAAAGAATGCATCATTAGCTGAACTCTCTTCCAGCATTCCAAAAATAATGTAGTTTAGAACAAAGAGGACAATCCTTTCTCCAAATGTCTGGACCTTAGAGAGCAAACAAAAACAGTACAAAGAAAAATGAGGCAGACGATAGTACTTTGCATTTCATAAAAGGCTTCAAAATTAAAAGGGGCTGTGAAGGAGGAGGTCATGGAACATGTACACTTAATTTGTGGAAAATACCTCACAAATTGGTTCAGATAGACTAACAAAAAGATTTTTTTTCCAATATTCCACCCTCTGTCCAGAGGGCATAGAATAATTTAGTAACAATTTATAAAGCTTGACATATCTCCTATTGTCACAGAGAAGGAATTCTAAAGCAGCAGGAAAAGAAGTATCTTGATTGTAGTCACAGCAAACTAGTCACAGACTTGGAAACAGGATCAAAGAAATTTAATTCTACCCAAAAGCTAAAGACAGGATACACTGTGTTATCTTGATCACGTCTCCTCTATTGCTGTCTTGCCATAGCACGAAGAATTTTAGTGGGCCAGGACCTTACTGACACTATTTGGAAAAAGAATTACAGGTTTAGAATCTATTAAATAACAACAATTTCATAAAATGAACACAACATAAATATTAACCAAGGAAAAAAGCCCCATAATTAACTTGATAAGACATTGTTCTAAAGTGTAGTAAACACCTCCCATCAGTCAAGCAACATTAATGTGAAGAGTTCTTGCTAGTCTAGTAATTTGGTTTATCTGATTACTCCTTTAGTAAGCAGTGAGGGTAAACTAAACCAAAACCTAATAAATCCCACAGATGAGTCATAAACTGCTCGCAGAAAATTTTTTAGAGAAGGTTAACGTGCATGTGGCTGTGCAATGGCAGACATGTGAAGTACCTGATGAGCCACAAAGCCCAGACCCACAGATTATGAAGCAGGAGCTATAGAAGTCCTGAGACAACTATGTATGATTGTTCTAGCTGGAAAGTTCCAGGGCATCTGTTTAAAATAGTATCCTTACCGAAATCAGCCCATCTCTAGAAGGATCAGCTGTCTTTACTACATCTTCAACAGGCCACCAACACTGGTTCAAATAAACTGCCAAAACTATAAAAAGAAAAAGAGAGTGGAACACATTAACTGCCAACAAATGCAAAGTTGGTTCTGAACCTTTCCATGGCCAGCCTCAGATCTACTTCTCCCTCCAGCTGACTCCAGTTTGATCTGCTATAAGACAGCAGAGCACCAGTTGCATTTCAATTTCACCTCCACTTCCCTTGATATTCTATTTTCAGTACCCCAACAAGCCCTCAAGAAAAGCTAATTTTTCTCAGGAATTGGTGTTTCAACCTGTGTGCCATATGAATAGAGTATTTCTGTATAGTATCTCAGTAGCACAGTAACCTTGAGTGGCATTTGGAAAAGAGAGAGCTACTTAGCTAAACGTTCTATTTTTGAAGTTTCCTTCACACTTTCCCCTGTCCACACACATACCTGCCTGTATTTACATCTGTGCAACTCAAACACAAAAGTTTTTTTTATCCACTACTCCATGTGTAGGTGCTAAGCAGATCTTGCACCCCACTTCTTGCCATCCTTCCTGAATTTTTCATGTATGCAGAGACAAGCATTTAAACCCTACTCCTACATGTTAATCTACAGAATTTGTTGCCTGCCATCAGATTTTCAAGGAAAGATTGAAGCAGCAACAGTGACACAGAAATTGCTCCCAAGCCCTGTTCAGGAAGTGTTAACATAGGGTCATTTCAAAGGATATAGAATAGATTTTAAGGGTTTAGATTAGCTTTTAGAATAAAGACAGAAATTTGATTATTTATGACCAGCAACACATCAAGCAGTATATATTTCATCAAAAACAAATCTGTATAGGGGTAACATTCAACTAAAGGAAGTACATGGCCACAGTTTCAAGAGTGCTCAAGAATACCAGTAGCTTTACTGTTTTCAAGCAGGACACCTACCATACCCATTTTCAGAAGAAAAAAAAATATTAAAAAAAAAAAATATATATATATATATATAATATAATATTTCAAGTATGTTGCAAAGAACAGCCTGGAGTTTACACCTCTAGAGTCCTAAGTGATTGCACTGTCTGATGGTTTTCTAAGATGCCCAACTAGGGACATACATAAGAAAGTTAAAAACCATCTCTGAGTTCAATACAAATTCACACCCAAGGAAGTGAAATGGCTTTAACAGGATTCATTATTTCCCTGTTTTAGCTTCAGGTTATACAAAGGTCTCTGATGCACACAGGTTCATTTCCCATTTTGCTTCAGCCTCTACCAGCTCCCCACTGGCTCTAAGGCTGGAGATTCCACTTAGCCAACTTACACTTCAAATAAATTATTGAAGCATGTGCCAAAAAGCGTTACACTTTGTGTGCTGGGTTAACAATAAAGAAAGGATTGCACACAAGGGCAAATGCCTGTTTATAGCACCAGATTCAATTCACTACATATTATGCACTTATTTGCATGGGAGTTTCATACTCTTACTGTGATGGATTCAATCTGTTCCCTCAATCCCTTCTCTCTGCTTCCAAATGCAAGGAGCCACTGCTCCATTACAAATCCTTAAAACAGACAGCTACAAAAGAGCTGAGTCTGGCACAGGGAACTTACTGGGCCAAATGCTGACTTCAATGGGAGCTGCACAGGGGTCTGGCACATAGTTCAGACTCACAGAAGACACATAGTAAAGGTCAGAAAAGTTCTAAAAAGCTTTGAGGAAAGTAGAAAGATGCATAACCATGTTGTAAGGAGTTACTTGTATAGAATATTTACTGTGCTATTCAATAATTTAAATGTGTGGAAGGGAACACTAGTTGACATAGCAACTGTCACATCACATTACTTGAGCAACCTTATCTATATGGATGCCTTCCTTGAAGAAAAAACATTTCTCCAGATTTCACACAAACATATGTACTTTGCTTTTTGTTATATTTTTTTAAATCAACATCTGTTCTGCAGTTAAATCCATCCATGCTTCCCATATTCTCATTTTCATTTTATAACCAACTTTGAGAAACACTATTTCAAATGCAAACATGCTGTGTGAGACCACAAGTTCCTTCAACTCTCCTTTTCCAGTCTTCTTGTTCTTACCAAGACATTTGGTTGTTCCCTTAACCATAAGAGATCAAGTTATTGCCAACAGTAAGTTACACGCATCACCTGGAGTCCATGGATCATGATGTATATGATGAGAATGACCTTGTGATTTCAAGACTAGGTGAAATGGATGAAGTCAAATATGTTTCAGTTCACAATTAATGGAGTATATCCCTGCTCAGCTGGGTGGCTTGCCCTGTAAGCAGTAGCTTGCTAAACCTCAGTGCTTTGATCATTCACAGTCAGACAAACACATTCAGAGCCCTGCAAGCACACGATTCCATCCTACTACAGGTATTTGGAATAAAGGATTGAAAAACATTGCACTGAACTGGGCACTAAACAGAATGCAATTGTGATCATGAAATGCCTCCCTTTGCTAGGCAAACACATATCCCTTCCTATCCCAGCTCTGGATTATACTTTATTTTCTAGGCTATGCTGGTAAAATGTCCCCACACCGGGGTGCCACTACGAAAGTGAAATGTGCATGTCAGGACTCTACACACAATGTAAAGCAGAAAAATTCAAGCAACATCAAGCTTGGTATTTCTTTTTACCCAGCCTTGATCTGAATATCTGAAAACAGCCCTCAGTTGCAAACTAAAGGCAATGCTATATATGAGAGTTACAATTTGAGTTTGTTTAATAAATATAGAACGTACCAGTTCTTTTCCTTAGCTAAAGACACTTCACCTTCATTTTGGCCATACTTCAGATTGATGGCACAGCTACAGAGGTTGCTTTTGCCAGATTTCCACCTTGAAAGAAGAATGCTAAATTACCCAACAAGCAGTTGCCTGCAACAGAGCCTAGATCAGCTCCGATCCTGGATCAAGCTCAGAGATCCTGCACTAAACTGAGTTCTGCAACATGGACACAACCTGACAAGATGTGTTCCCCAGCTCCCATCTTTAAAATGGAGTAAGAGCATTTCTGTCTCTCTCTGCTAAGAGTCTTACCACAATAAATACATTCAAGCTTGGGAGACATGCAGATGCTGCAGTAATGGCAGCCGTTCAAGTATCTAAGATAGATATCTTTCCTGCAACCAATTACATTTTCCTTCACAATTTGAGTTTTATTCAGTGATTTGTTGCAAATGTCTTGTGATAAATGTTCCATGGCATCTAACAGTTATTGTAAATCATTATATACAGCATGCAGAAAGTGCCACAATAGAGTATGTTTATTTAGTATTATAAAGATGTTAATCACTCATGCTATGCTCTGTAAGCCCTTACAGCACAATTTACATTCTCATAAAAATATCTGCACAGATAAACTAACAGAACAGAACACTTGGCCCATCAAAAATAAATTAAAAATGCTCCCAACCAAGACCAAGTCCTATGGAAAGCTACCATGCCAATTTTCTCTTTGAAATATGCATGTCTTTTCAGACCACAAGATACACATCTCTCCTGCACAATCTTATCAAGATGATAAGATGAGCCTTCAAGACTTATTTTTTTTTTTTCCTTTTTTTTTTTTACATAGGGTCTAAACACTCCATGCAGATTTTGGGAGGTTTTCCCCCAAAATATATACATAGGACCTTTTCCAAGGGCTATTGAAAGGCCTTTAAAAGCTTCTTATTTTAATGATTTTACAGTGGAACCTAAAGAAAAGCAGTGCTGTAAGAAGAGCAAATATATGATTTGACTGAATAGAGAATTTCTAAAATAAAGAAAATACAGGAAAAAATAGAGATAGGTAAAGTGTTCTGGAGTAGAAGAACCAGAACAAGTTTCAATGTGGACTAAACTTGGAAGAATCTTTGAGTCAAAGAGAAGGCTAGACTGAGAAAACTGAGAACTGAAAGGATTGGAAAAGATAATATTATAACTCATGATTTCTTATCCATAGGTAAATCTGTAATGTTTAGAATAACCTCTTTTTGAAGACATACATAATAAAAACAAATGTGGTGGTAGAGAAACAGTTTTGAATTCCTGCAGATTTGCTGAGCTGTGAATTCAGAAAAGGTAAACCTCTGAAAGAGGGAATTTAAAAGCATTTTAAAATGCAACATTTAGATAAAACAAATAAACAAATAAATAAGTGGTTATAATAGAAAAATAAAAATAAAACAAAATATGGGATAATCTGAAATATTCTCTTCCATTTTTTTAAATTTGAACAACAGAAGCTGTTACCTGTCCTACCTTACTCCTAAACACTGAAACCCAGAAAGAAAAAACAAGGGACAAAAAAACCAAACCATTTTACACTCCTACAAAATTACACATATTTATATTTCAAAGAATCATTGCATTCTAATTATTCACAGTACTGCTATGACTTTTCACTCTACTTTGAATTTCTTCCCCTTAATAGCAAGTCTCCTTGCTTTCTCTTTTAATGTAGCAATACTACAGAATCTAAAAGAAGAAAGGTAAAGAAAGAGAGAAAGAAGGATAGACTGAGAGTGAAAAGCCTGACAACTGTGTAACAAACAAGAACATAGTAGAAAAAAAATGTATTGTACTGAAGCTGAAAATTCTTTTTGAAAAATGTCAGAAGACCAGGTAGATTATTAAGCAATACAGTAAGATAATTATTTGTTTGCCTTGTTTGTACAATATTAACTACCTAATTTGTAAGGCATGGTGATAGAATTTAAATGCTAATAAAATCTTAACTGAGCTGATGTAATCACAACAAAACAGATTTTATATGAGTACATATCCTGTGTGGAAGGAACAAAATACCCAGCAGGACCAGAACCCTGGACTTCCACAGGGCAAACTTTGGTCTCCTCAATCATCTATTAAGGGAAATCCCATGGGACAGGGTGCTAGAAAATAAAGGAGCTCAAGATAGCTGGTCAACATTCAAGGACCACTTCTTGCAAGCACAGGATCAGAGTGTCCCAATGGTTAGGAAATCTAGTAAGGGTGCTAGGAGACCTGCATGGTTAAAGAAGGAACTACTGGGCAAACTTAAGTGGAAAAGGAAAATCTA